GGGGCTCTCACTCCACCTGCGTTTCCCGGTTTGTCCTCTCGGCACTGGGGAAGCTGCAAATCCGCACCAGGGTTACCTGCCCCCACCGAAACCGCCTTTGCGGGCCTCCCTGCTGGCGCAGCGGGTTAAGGCGCAGCACTGAGAAGCCAAAGCCACGGCAGCATGAGCTCGATCCCCGCCGTCCCCGGAGGTGACCACCGGGCCCGGAAGACCTCTCCTGGCCCCCCGCTGCTCCCCTCAGCAGTGCACTTCGTTGATCTGCCTGTTCTGCTCCCCGCTCTGTCTCTGGGGAAGCCTCTCACCTCCTCTGAACCTCTGGCCTGTACCCCAGCTCTGTACGTATAAATAACTATATCTTTAAAAATAAAAAGAAAGAAAGAAAAAAGAAACCACCTTTCCTCTACCGTGTCTGCTAGAACTTAAACTGGCTGGGGACTGCAAAACCCCCTCGCTCTGGGGACCACCTCGCAGCCCCTCGAGGGGTCTGCGCCTTCCCCACCTGTGTCAACACGCACTGGATGCCGGGAGACTGGGGGGCAGCTGCGAGTCAGCTTAAGCCTCAGCAGATGAGGGCGGCAACAGCTACCTGAGAAGGAGGCGGATGCTGCGGGCCACAGGGCCCCAACGCGCCTCTGTACCCCGCGGCTGAGGGCGCTGAGGGCAAGAGGCCCCCCCGCAGGTCAGGACAGCTGACCGCAGGGCCCCCTCTGGCGGCCCCCGCCCCCCTGTGCTGCAGGCGTGCCTCCAGGCCCACACTCAGGGCTCTGCAACCCTCCCTCCCCCTCCAGACCCACATGCTGCCCCAGAGTGTCACAGGGAACAATGAGACGGCTTGTGACTGAGTGTGACTGAAAGCCTCGGAGCTGGCAGGCACGGATGCGTCATTCTCTGCGGCAGTCATTAGAAGTACTCCAGCCAGTTCCAGGTCAGGGTGACCCAGAGACCGAACTCCTCCCCCCCGCTATTCAAGCTGGTGGTGAACCTTAACACAAGAACCACAGGCTGAGGAAAAGATAACGATTTGTGGTTTGCACAAGGGCTAAGCCTAGCGCTGCCCAGAAGCCGCAGCCCGGAGCCATCCTGCTTGTGCGTTACCAGCCACAAGCTGACTTCCTGGGCTCCCCACCAGGCCTCCTCTCCGCCCGGGGTCTCCCCAGGACCTGGCACGTGCATGATGAAGTGCTCCTTAGCTCGTTGTCAAACGAGAATTAGCAACGCCAAGGTGGGATCTCTGTACGCTCTCCAGGAATGAGGGAGCGCGCGCCTGGAGCCTTGCTAACGCTGGCCCGAGGCCCGGAGGCCCGTGGCCCGGAGGCCCGAGGCCCGGAGGCCCGGAGGCCCGGAGGCCAGAGGCCCGGAGGCCCGGAGGCGCTACATCCTTAACCAGACCTCTTTAAGCAGGAGACACGGAGCCTGGGGGAAGAGAGAGAGCGCTGCATTGCTCATCTCCCACCTGACATGTAATAACAGAATGATTTTTTTCAACGCCCAGGGAAAGGCTGGCAGGAGACAGTCCACAGCGATGTCTGGGGAAATGGAAGACGGTCAAATGTGATTTCTTCCAAATTTTCTCTCTTCTAACTTTTTGCTTTTTACAAAGGTCACCTGCAATGTATATAAACCATGTTGGTGGGGGCGGGGGCAGGTCCATAATTATGAAACCCCATGGGGGCGAGTTCACTCCGAGGCAGTAGGACCGCGGCCCAGCGAAGGGCCTGTGGCCTCCAGCCTCTCGGGACCCAGCTGCCCGCACACGGGCTCCTCGGGCTCGGGCTGAGGGGCACAACATCCCTGCAGCAGGGACCTGCTGGCAGCAAACACCCCCGGGGCTGCTCTGCAGGCCCGGGCCACAGTCAGAGCCAGATGCGGGGGGACAGCCACCTGCCCCCTAAATCCAGGCTCCTCTTGCAGCAAACGAAGGATATCTGTCAAATTTCACTTCTCTGTTAGCTCTCGGTACTCAATCTCAAAGGAGGACCAGGTGCTACATCAGGTGAAGAGTGAGCCCGTGGGGGCCTCCCTGGGGGACGCAGGGGCTGAGTCTCGGCACTATGAAGCTGCCGCAGCCGCTGCAGCACGAGTTCCATCCCGGCCAGGGAGGGGCCCAAGGGCGCAGCAGACCCCTCCTGTCTCCCGCTGCCCCTCAGCAGTGGGTTTCAGTGGACCCACCCGTTCTGCTCCCCAGTGTGTCTCTGGTGAGTCCTCTCATTCCCATATCTCTGGCCTGTACCCCAGTTCTTGTGTCATCCATAAATAAACCTCTGGCCTGTACCCCAGTTCTTGTGTCATCCATAAATAAATCTTAAAAAAAAAAATTAAGCTTTGGCAATTTTTCCCCACTGACCGGCGCCACTGTCAACCTTTAAAACATGGCCCTGGTCAGTGGCAGCACAGACCCGCGCCCCAGCGCGGTGTCACTCACCCCCACCTCGAGGCCACGGGACCCTGCACCTGACGGCTGGCGCTCCAGTGCTCTCCCGTGGCTTTGACGCCACTGCGTATTCACCTCGCACTGCGCCGCACCTTCCACGGGGCGCCTGACCCCGGCCCGCCGGCCACCGGACAGCGGCGGGCCCAGCGGCCCGCTAAATGAGGATTCTGCGTCGGTCCATCTGGGCCGGAGCCTGACTCAGCGTTTCTGACAGACTGAATTTAAGCTGTTTCAGCCTAAGCTGGCTGACCATCCACGTCTTTGGCACGGCCGCTGGACTCGCAGGACTTCCCAGGCTGGCTGGCGCGAGTGACTGCGGCCAGTGCCCGAGCTGGCTTCTCACTGACCGTCGACGGGGTTACATGAAGTCTGTTTCTTTGTGTTGCCACAGTCAGGCCAGAATAAACACCTGCAGGCTCCTGAGAGGGCGGCCACACAGCTCCTGCCCACGCCGCGGGCCGTGCCAACTGCGCCCCCTGGGGGAGGCGCAGGTCCCAGGCAGCAGGTTTGTAAGCTGCGCGGCATCTCGCTGTGGTTCCCATTTGCCGTCCGTCCGCACGTCCCAGTGAGACTGAGCATCTCTTCCTGCATTCATCAGCTGTCTGTTTCTCTTTTCCCTGTCGAAGCTCTCCCTTGCGTTCATCTGACCAGACCAGAGAGGGCCGTCTGTGGCTGCATCTTACTGCCCCTGACAGTGTCAGGCTGTCCACCCACACAGCCTGGTTTCTCTTTTTACTGCTTCATGGGGCTTTCCCCTGTCAGGTGAGGAGTCTTCCTTCCTCACAAGTTTAAACGGATTTGGCAGTTACATGACTGTCAGGACTTATAGTCTTCCTATGATTTTCAAATGAAATGAAAATCCTCTGAATCCAGGGGATTTTCACTCACTGTGGGGGTGGGGGGGTATAGACTAGGAAGAAAATAGTTCTGATTATCTCTGGGAGCTAACAGCCACATAGCGACACGATTCTGGGTTGTCAGTGACGGAAGTCACATTTCAATAATGTTGTCAGTTGAGAAAAACTGCTAATTCTTCACCTGATCTAATTACTCCCAATAAAATACCGTTACCTGGCCTTTCTCTTGAGATTAAATACTGAGAGGTGGTCAAGAAAAAACGTAACATTTGACAGATGGCCAGCACTTCACAAGGGTATTACATCAGGCACAGACTTGCTACCGCCCTGTGCTTTGCAGGCCACGCCAGGCAGGGCCACGCCAGGCAGGGCCACGAACACAGCCCCTTGGGCCACACCCACGAGGACAGGTTTCACAGCTGAAGCGGAATCAAAGGCAAAACCTTGGTCCAGTCAATCTGCCTTACCATAAGAAACTACCAGAACTGTTTTAAATACAAGGAATCAAATATCTAACCCAAGCAAATAATTCTGCTGCTTTTACCGACGGTGTCTACACTATGAATTCTTGCCTTTGATGAACAGATCTGAAAGAGATCTCACTGCTTGCTGGTTCTGATGTCAACATGAACTTGGAGTAGATGTGGAGAGAAAGGTCCATAAAAGGTGATCGTCCTCTGTCTGACCGGAATAGTAAGCCCTGGCTCCCCTGCTCTGCTCCTGGGACACGCCACAGACACGTAGGTTCAGGTCCCTTGCTCGGTGCAGCCGGCAGAGAACAGGCGTGTCCAAGCTCCGTTGGTCACTGTTTCTCTTAAGTTTCATATTTGGTGGAATTGACTTTACAACCTGAGAAAGACTGACTCTGAGGCGGGTGGGTTTATCCTACACCGCCGCTGCTTGAGCGTGGCTGCAGAAAGCTGAAGGAAAGTGCAATTAGGGCTCTGGGGCTGTGTAGGTCTGGGGCAGTCTGGAATTCCAGCAGCAGAATCATCAGTGTGGCAGGCTGTGTTACCCGTTTCCAGAATAGGATTAGGGGGCACAGACACCCCCCACCACCAGCCCTTCTGCCTTTTCCTTCCTGGCGTCCAGCACACCAGCCGCTCAGGCTTCATTGACTTCGATGTGTCTTCCCGTAAGACTCGGAACTCCGGGACCTCCGGTGGCGCTGAGGTTAAAGTCTCAGCTAGGAAGCTGTCCCAGCCTCTGCAGCACGAGTTTGATCCCCAGGCAGGGAGGGACCCCAGGGCACAGCAGACCCTTCGTGTCTCCCCGCTGCTCCCCTCAGCCGTCTATCTCAGTGTTCTGCTCCCCACTCTGTCTCTGGTGCATTCCCCCCACCTCTGGCTTACACCCCACCCCGTTCTTATTTGCATAAATAAATAAAAATAAATCTTAAAAAAAAAAAAAAACTGATCTCCAGAGGGCAACACCACCTCTGCTTTGCTGACTTCATGCACTGAAGCCCCGCCAGGCCCAGGCGTCTCCGAAGGGTGAGTGTGCCAGCCTGCTATTTGGAGGCTGGTGGTGGGGAAAGCAGGGAGACAGGCAGTCCATCCAGCCCCGTTTACTCTGGGATCGAATTTCACCCTGCGACATTCCAACCTCTAGCCCGCCCTCATGGGGTCATCTCCCTGGAGTTGACAGTAATATTATAACTTTGGCTTTTTTTAAGCCGGCGTGGAAAACAGCCACATGAAACCACCTCTGGCATCTGCCCACAAACGAAGTCCACGGTGCCATAATGTCATGTATACGGGGGGAGGGCGTGGGAAAGAGGGTCTGAGCTCCCACATGGGGAAGTAAATAGATGTTACCTGAAACTCCCAACTCCAGAAGGAGCAAAATAAACTAGTTAGAAATGTCGCGATAATTACAGACATCAGTTCAAAGGGTTGAGAATAAAAGTCACCGCGGACCAATCTTCGCTGGAGAAAAGGGCCCCGCGCCGGCTGTGCCATGCGCGTCACGAGCCCCGAAGCCTGAGTCTTTCCACTGCTTTGTGACTCTGGCTCTCCTTCAGAGGGAGCTTGGGACGGGAAGGAAGAAAGCCTGAGCTCAGGCCTCACAAAGGGTCACACTATGCACAGAAAGAGAAAGTAGGGCCCTCCTGGTGGCAGAACAGGTCAAAGCGCAGCACTATGAGGCGACCCCCAGCCAGGGAGGGACCCCGGGGCCCAGTGCTTCAGCAGATCCGCCCGTTCTGCTCCCCACTCTCTGGGGAATCCTCTCACCAACCCCCCACCCGGCCTGCACCCCAGCCCTCGTCTGCATAGACAAATAAATCTTTAAAAAATGAAATTAACCAACCAAAGTACATTTGGTTGCTTGCTACAGAGCCCAACGGGGGCTCGGCCCAGGGGGGCTCATTCCTCCCAGGAAGAATCCTGCGGGGGAGCAGCCCCGGGCCAGGCCTGAATTCCGCCCAGACCCGACACCGAGGCACACGGAGGCGGTGGGAGCTCGCCGAGCAGAGGCCTCTTCCCGGGAGTCCCGCCCAGACGTCGGCTTATGAACACTGGCCAGCACGTGGCCACCTTTGCGCCACAGCAGCCTGGGAAATGGAGGCTGAGTTGGCCACTTTGCTCTACTCAACAACATCCAGAATAAATAAAAGGGAGGGGTGGGATGGAGCTGTGAACGCCTGTTCGGCCGGAGACGAGGCGCTGAGTGATGTGCTTGGAAGGCACACTGCGAAAAGTCACGATAAGACCAACACGGACGAGGGCCAAATCTGGCCCAGACGAGGTCGTGCTGACCTGGGGGAAAAGGATGTGCAGACAGGACTCGGTGGGGCGAGGCTACCGCGAAATATCAGTGCTGTTTACAATCCCGCAGAGGTGGCTGCTTGGGACGCTGCTGTCTACCTGCAAGGATGCTTGTGGGCTGCCTGGGGGCCCCTGCTGGCCGGACATGACCTTTGCCAGACCCGGGAGGGAAATGAGGGTCGGAGACACAGACACACGGGGTGTCTCGCCCAAGGAGACACAGTCCAAAGGATAAGAACGGGATCTGAATGCCGACCTGTCATGCTCCCGGACCTGGGCCAACCCCACCACCCCCTTGTCCAGTTTAACCTCCCGGCACCGGACGAGGGCAAGACTATGCCTCTGTCCTGAGCGACCCAGGCCTCTGGCCACTGGGCCTGACCGGCTACAGATCACACGGGTCCCGCAGCACCAGCCGCCGGCCCCTGGCCCAGCTTCATCCTCAAAGGTCAGACCAGCGGCCCCCTCACAGCCTCCTGCTGGGCTCCTGTTGATGCTGCCTGAGCCCTAACTGCCCCCGCCCCGCACCCAGCCCAGAGCAGCTGCCCTCAGCCGACAGGAGGCCTGGGGATCGGCCCCTCTCTGCCATGATGTCCAACCCCTTGCCCAGTGGAAAGAGGTGAGCTTTTGACTCGGGCTTTCACTTATTAGGATACAAATTTAAACCGAAGTCCGGAGGTCCGGGCGGGGTGGGAGCAGGGTGGGGACAGGGGTGCGGGAGGGTAATTCCCGAGGGCTGAGACCCCTCGGCTGCGAGTGAAAAGACTGGGCGGAGCCCGCCTACACTAGGAAACAGCTGCCCGGAGGCCGGAGATGCCACCAGACGCCACTCGGAGCTCCGAACACATCTAGGTGGGAGCGCCCGGCCGTGAGGACGCTGCCAGCCGGCCACGACCCCGGCCGTGAGGACGCTGCCAGCCGGCCACG